TTGAAACTTTTAATGAAGTGGAAAAAGATAGAGGGAATGATCTGCACATAAAGAAAAGAGAAAACTCAGTTTGCTCCCAACCATTAATACCCAGGCTTCTCTACCTTTCCCCAGAAGTTTCTGCCCATAATTCCCAGACACTTTTCCCATGTCTGAGTGTGACAAACATTTGCTTTCATTTAGTTCACCTAAGACAAACTTAAGGAGCTCTAGTAGCGTAGTGGTTACGAATCGGGCTGCTAACCTCAAGGTCAGCAGTTCAAAACTACCAGCAGTTCCACAGGAGAAAGATGAGGTGTTCAGCTCCCGTAAAGATTTACAGCCTCGGAAACCCTGTACAGGGTCACTATGAGTCGGAACCGACTCCACGGTACTTAACAACAACAACAACAACAAGACAAATTAATCAAGGGAACTAGGACTTCTGTGATTGGAAAGCAATGTCAATTCAGAAATCCGAGATTTAAAATACATTCTGGGGGTGTCTCATAAAAAAATAAAGCAGAAACAAAGTTGGCATGGTCCCATGAAATGAGCTGGGTTGCTGTCTCTTGTTTCATTGTCTTTTGATGTCCCTAGAAAGTGACTTCTGCTTTTATCTTCAGGGCTGCTGCTTCCCAACTCTTCTCTCCTTTGCCTTTCTCCTTTACTGGCAAGGGTAAGCGCTTTAGAGCTGCCAGTAAAATAATAATATGAACTCATAAAACCAACATTCTGTAAATACAGCTGAATCTCATGGAACAGGGGCAGGGGGAGGGGGAGGAATCTAACTGGAGCCAGGAAAATTCCTCAAAGAGACAAAATGCCTCGCAGTCTAAAAGAGAGTTAGAGAAAGGATAGGCAAAGGCAGAGAAATGAGGAGGTAGAGCTGGTGGGGTAATGCATTACCTTATTATGACATTTTAGCACTTTAGTCACAGACATACTATTAGAAGGAGATAACTCTTTCAGTAGATCCTTCAGCAATATATCTTTCTGAAAAGCTTCTCTTTACATAGCCAATCTTATCTCTTCTGCATTTTCTCCCTGAATCCAGAATTCTGGACTTCTTATCAGTGTTTTTCTCATTGTTCTTGGAATAGAAATACTCTTGAATGTCCAATAAAAAGGTCAACCCAATAAGAAAGCAGATCACTTGGTTTTCTCTAAGTTTAGGCAGTTGGCTGCTAAACAAGATTTTAAAACTGAGGAACCAGTAATAAAATTTGTGGTCTAAGAACACACTTAACGATCATGTGGATAGGGCTCATCTCTACTTTTTTCTCCACTGTCTTTCCTGCCCTCTATTGACAAATGATAGATGGTCAATAATAACCAGTTGTTGTCAAGTTACCTCCAATTCATAATAACCCTATTGGTGTCAAAGTAGAACTGAGCTTTCCAATCACTCCTTTTTAGGAAGCAGATCACCAGACTTTTCTTCTGAGGCACATCTGGGTGGGTTCAAACCTCCAACTTTTCAGTTAGTAGCCAATCATGTTAACTGTTAGTGCCACCCAGGGACTCGAGTGGATGAATAAAAGAATAACAGAAACTGAGATGGGGCCTCTCACCCAGAAGGTTTGATCATGTTTCTGGTTTTTCCCCGAGGGTAGATGGAATAGGATAGTTTGTATTGCTCTGTGGCATCTGTTGCCTAGATTACCACATGTCGAGGAAAACCAAATCTACAAGACTTTTCTCATTCTCCTTTCTATTTTTTCTACTTCTACTCCTTTCTTCTCTCTTGGGTGAGTCAGTCCTGGTTCTTTTCAATGCAATGTCCCCATCCCTACTTCATGAGTTAGTCCAAGTCTTCTTCTTCAAAACAAAGACTAAAGTTGATACATGCAAAATTGTCTGAAAGAAAAATGATATGGGAGAAGAGAAAATGGAGGGCTGTGAGTTCTCACATTTATTAATGATTTTGTATGAATCATAGTATAAATTAGGACTTGGCATTGGAGAACCGAGGACAAGGTAGAGAGAAACAGAAAGAAAAGGAAAAGGACCAGTGAAAGACAGCTGCATACAGAAAGTGTTGGACATACAAAATGCAGGATGATAAACAGAAATGCTGAAGAGTTTAGGGAATCCCGTGGGAGCATGGAGAGAAACTACTTGTGTAAAAAGGTAAATCGTGAATTGGAAAGAGAAGTGTAAGATATCTAACTTTGGATTCAGGAAGCGTAAAAACAAACAAACAAATGGTGCGGTCAGAAGACTGAAAGGTCATTGAGGATACATCTGGAAGCCTGCTGAGAAAGACTGAGTTCACATACATTACAACACATGCTCAGAGCTGGAGAAGACAGAATTCTCTTTCATTCTGAAGATTGTGGGGGATAAAGGAGACAGTGACCTACTCATTTTTAAGGGTGAAACATATTGTTGTTGTTGTTGTTAAGTACCGTGGAGTCGATTCCGACTCATAGGGACCCTATACAGGATTTTCAAGGCTGTAAATCTTTACGGGAGTAGAATGCCTCATCTTTCTCCCATGAAACTGCTGGTAGTTTCGAACTGCTGACCTTCAGGTTAGCAGCCCGATTCGTAACCACTATGCTACCAGAAACATATTAGATCTTAACTATAAACGTGTTTGTTATAATATTAAATGGGAGTTAGTGACTAGCTGCTGGTGGTGCTTATATGCTGTGGAGTTGGTTCAGTGACTATAAAATGTTTTCCCATAGCTTACTGGTCCCCCCAAAACCTTGAAATGTAGTAAACTGGTTTTATGTGCAAACAACTTATTGTCAATGTAATGAACTGGATATTACATTCTGGAAGAAGGAGACAAAAGATCAGACTAAATTCAAATTGAGATTTAAAAAAGAGAACCACCACCAATCTTGTGGGTGGAAATTTAAAAAGTTGAATTTATCATGGATGAATTTGCATTGTCTTCTTTATGAGGCCTTCTTTGAGATTTTATCACAAAGAATATTTCTCTTAACAGAGAAAATCTGTATAGAAAACCTGAATTTCACTGGACCCTTAGAATTTATTCATCTTTCAGATTACATGCTGTCCCCAAATTACAAGTGAGTTCTATTTCTAAGTTTGTCTTTGGCTCTAGCTTGTATGTAAATTGAAGCCGTTCGGTACAGTTCATATCTAACATCAGTCAAATGTTTGTCTTAGTATATAGTGTACATTTCTATGCATAAAAAAAATTTAAAGAAATACTTCCTGATCAATAAAACATCATTAACATAATACAGTAGTAGTAACACTAATAATGTTTTGATGAATGTCACAAAGTAGTGCCTGCTTGCTTTTAGGAATCATAGGATGCACCTCAAAATTTTAATATAATAGGCTTCTACAGGGGTTGGTTCATCACTAGGGGCTGTATGTACATGAATCCGATGTTTCATGACCCAGGATTGCCTAAGATATTTCCCTAAACAGGGAATCCTTTACTATTCATAAAAGCTCTTCAAAAAGCTGGATGTGCCAGGGAAATTCCAGCACAATTAGACAACAAGATTGGGGCAAAAGACCCTATCTATTTGTTTATCTTTAAAATACATCAACACTGAGAAATACAACCACTCACCATCATCCCAGCCCTTTTATTGTTCTAGCCTAAGGGTTGAGATCTCTGGGTAGTGCAGTTTGCCCCTGGTTACCAACCAAAAGGTTGGTGGTCTGAAACCAACCAGAAGTGTTGTGAAGAAAGGTCTGGTGATTTGCTTCCATAAAGATTTATAGTCACAAAAAACCCTATGGAGCAGTTCTACTCTGTAAAACAGAATTGCTGTGAATTGGGGTCAGACTTGAAGGCAACAGGTAACACAAGGTCAGTGCAGCTCTGAGACTCAAGTCAATTAGTCTGCATAGGAGACTCTTGGATACCCAGGCAATAGAGCTACAACAACAGGTAGAAAAGGTTTTCTAGGTGACTAAGAGGCCAGGGAAAAAAGAAAACAAAACAAAAAAACCTCTCTCCACAAGGAAATCAGAGTTACCAAATGGAAATGCTTTCCCAGTAAGGATAAAAATAGTGTTTCTGGTGCTGAAGGTATATAGTAAAAGTGCATATTTGTGAAAATATGTGTTTTTGTATACACTTCTACTAGCAAAGTGAATTCTAAATAGCTATTATGTACCTCCTTAGGGACATGTCTTATTTGTCTCTAAATCCACCACTCACTGTCACTCACAAAAGTCTGTTGAAAGAGTTAATTAGCAAGACAATGCTTTTGGAAAATGAGATCTGAGTGCCCTCTTAGCTTTGCTGTACTTCAGATCAGTGATATTCAGCCTAATAGAGCATTAGGGTACAGGTTTAGACTCCACAAAACTGGATGGGCAAGTTACAAAGGAGTCAGTGATGGAATCAGAACTCTTAGGGTCACTGAACATCTCTCTCCTCAGGATGGGGCACTTAGAGAATTGCAAAAGGTGGATATCCCCAAGTGAAGGCCTGATTGGTCCAGGAATGATAGCTCGGCCTACTGGGAAGATGACTTTGTTTTAACCAGTATAGAAAGTGAAATGTGAAGTGTGCTTTCTCCCCCAGCACCTCAAATCCATCCATCAGGGGAACAAGTAAAACAGTAGGACTCTGTCCATAGACCAAACCTGAAAGACATGCAGTCATAGCCAGGAGGGTAGATCAGTGAAGGAATTAGAAAAGCAAACACGTGTTTCTGGGAACTCCCTTCTCTGTGAACCTTTGCCCAAGTCTGGCCTCCAACATAGGGTAGCCACAACTCTGTACCAGGACAGCATCCTGCTACAGCAAAGATCACATCCAAGACTGAGGGAAAAACTGCCCACCCAGAGTAGATAATATCTGGAAGGAATGACTGTTTGGGAAAAGTCCCAGTGCTAGTTTAGTGCCAACAAGTCCCCACCTTCTCCGGCCCCCTCGCACTGGTTCCTCCCCTTTAAACTGCTCTACTTCTTATAAAAACTCCAGTCTTTCACTCAAAGCCTGTAGGAGCCTCTCTTCCTACTGACACTCAGGACAGTGAGAAGACCCACAGGACAACAACAACAGAGAGACCATGAAGAGCCTGCTCCTTTTCACCATTCTGGCTGCCTTAGCTGTGGCAATTTTGTGTTATGGTGAGAAACTTTACTCCCTATCCTTTCTCAGATTTTCTTTTCCATCTCTAACTTTTGTTTACTTTGGTTTTTCCTTCGCTCTTTGCTCCCCTCTCCCCCTCTTCTGCTATCATCTTAGAGTATCATTAATTTAACAGTTTCCAGTCCATGGACACTGATATTTCCATCAAATCTTTTAACATCTTAAATGTCCAGGTGCTTGTATACAACTTAAAAAGCAAGTTCTTTCCGTGCTAAAGTCACTCAGTATAGATGGATATACACCTAGAGCTGAGATATTTCAGAAAGATGTCTAAATTCCTAGTTGCTGCATTCTCATTCCTATGGACATTTATTTTGACTTTGAAATAAGTTGGTTAAAGGTGTTGGATTAATCACTACCACTAAGAAAATCAGTTGTTATGTGAAATTTTAAGGGTAGCCTAAGAACAGGACAATCTCATAAACTTACTACATTTCTTGAATGAGCTAATGTGAAGGTCTACATTTAAAATTTTTCAGAGAAAAGTAGATTACATGACTTCTATAGCCAAAAGGTGAAATTTGCCTGATTCTAGATGTTGTTAAATATCTGAGTCTGTTAGAAGTTAAAGAAAGAAAATCTGAAGCAAAATTATCTAAATAAATCAGCCTTATGCTTCAATAGTTTAGTTGTTTTAAAGGAAATGATATTAACAACTATGCATCGTATACTTTTCACTTTCAAAATTATTCATAATATTTCTGTATCAGAGGATTTGATTTCTTCCCCTCCTTTTCTTAACTTTTCCATTAAATTCACTTATTAACAAATATAATTCTCTTGTTCTGAAATCAGAAGAAAAAGATGAACACGTTTGCTTTGAAAGTGTCTCAGTTTGTTCTTTGTACTGGCATTGTGCCCAATGTGAGCTGTTCAGCTGAAGCCAGTGGTTTCTGTGGCTGGCAGTTTAACACAGGTTTTTAAGAGGCTTTTGGAACCTCTTCGGAACCTGACCTGGTAAAGTTCAGCTAAGCAATTGCCCAGACTGCCTGGAAAACCTGGCTGTTTTCTGGACCCTCCTCTACCTTTCTGGACCCTTCTCTCAGGCCCCAGATAAGACAAAGAAGTCTCACTGGGGACTTAGTGTATCACTGAAATTGTGTTTGTTCACTAGTATAAAGACCTCATAGCCCTTGAGAATTTTAGCCAAGACTGGACACTAGTCCCTTTGACATCAGATAAAGTAGCAAGGACAGAGGTAGAAAAACAATGTGCAAATCCAAAATTGCTGAAATTTGCAGTAACAACACTGCTCGATGCATTCCCTCACATCTTTCTGACTCTTCACATCTTTTTGACTCTTCATTTACCTTCCTTTCCTATATAGACTAATGTAGTGTACAATGTGTAACTATAAAATGAATTTTTCTTTTTAATTCCAGAATCTCATGAAAGCATGGAATCCTATGAAATTAGTAAGTAAATATTTGTCTTCCATATTTAAATCTCATGCATTATCTAATCACTCCCTATTCTTACAGTAACAAAATGATAAGATATATAAGAAGAAAAGAAAAAGGCCTCTTTGGGGAAAGAAAAGAAATTTTGAAATCCAGTGATCATAAAAAGCGCTACATGCACAATAGTTAAAGCATGACAGTAGTGTAATATGACATTTAAGCTGCATTCCACATGCATAAAATCTTCTGGAAATTTAGACTTGGCACCATATCAAGCACACAGGGAAAACAAGGAGTAATGACAAATTGTAAAATACAGCATTGGAGGTTGAATCAGCTGTAGACCATCAGTATTATGTCGAATGCTACTGAGTATCTGGATATATAAAAAATGAAGGCAAAAACAATTTATCACTGTTGTTTATAACTTATACATCATTTTTTATAATATTTAAACTGCTCACTTACTGACAGTCTAAAGTTATGCTTGACAAATGCTAGCGACAGACAGAATGTCTCCTGAAAGACATTAACTAAACATCGCTAGCAACACCAATACTGGAAAAGGCAAAACAATTGCCCAAATGCAAAACCAGATGCCAAGTATGCGGTAGCCTATATGAAAATGTCTAAGACACATGTAGTGTTATTGATTTCTTTTGATCAGGGAATTTATGAAATCTGCATTACCCTGACCCTTTCATTTTCACAGACCTCTGGGTCCTTTGGGATGCATGAATAAGAGTCTTGTAGTTTTGTGTCAGAGAATAATCATGGAAATATTTTCAGCTACTGTTATGCTTACATTGCTTATCTTTATTTTCTGTTTGAAGATCCCTTCTTAAACAGGAGAAACGCTAACAGCTTTATGTCGCCGCAGCAGAGATGGAGAGCTAAAGCCCAGGAGAGGTGGGTGACACAAATTTTCTCCAGCATAATATCAGTGATCTGAGTGGAGTGAGGAACAAGTTTTCCATGTTAAATATAGTAATTCTAATTGTATCATAGCATCAAGGAATCTCAAAACAATACATAGAAAACAAATCAAGTTTTGGAAGACTATTTCGTGAAAGACCAGACAAAAGCAAAAAAGAAGCTTCTAAAAATAAATAACTTCCTCCTGTTTTCCCTTTACCCCTACCCCTTGTTTTTCAAATTATCTAGGTGGGGGGGGGGTTGTTTTGTTTTGTTTTGTGGAAGGAACTCTTTTCAATATTTTCCTTTCCCTATTTCTTATTTTTCTTCTATGCTTCTCAATTTTGGTCTCTTTTTCCACTTCGTAGGATCCGCGAACAAACCAAGCCTGCCCACGAGATTAGCCGGGAAGCCTGTGATGACTTCAAGCTTTGTGAACGCTATGCCATGGTTTATGGCTACAATGCTGCCTACAATCGCTATTTTAGGCAGCGCCGAGGAGGCAAATGAGATTGGAGAAAGTCTAGTTCATTCCGGAGCCTGGTACCTGGTTTCGTATTCCCTTGCCGTAGCATCACTGAAATATATAGCATGCACATTGCTTGTTTCCTACATGTTCTCTTGCCCGGCTGCACCCCAGTCCCCAGAATGCTTGATTTGTAAGGAAAATGCAGTGTCGTGGAGGGGGGGTTAAGATGTGTGATTATTACTTAATAAATGTATGATTGGATACTTCGTTTTTGTTAAGTTTGATTTCTTCTGGGGAAATGCCGAGACATTTAAATCACAGCCCATCTAATGCAGTATTTGTTGCTGTTGCCATTGAGTCGGTACCAACTCATAGTGAAACTATGCACAATAGAAAGAAAAACACTGCCCCGTTGAGGGCTAACCTCATAATTGTTGCCACCTTTGAGTCCATTGATGTTGCCACTTGGCCAATCCATCTCATTGACAGTCTTCCTTTTTTACTCTAACCCTCCTCCTTACCAAACATGATATCCTTCTCCAGTGACTGGCCCCTCCTGACAACATGCCAGTAGTATGAGAGACGAATTCTGGCCATCCTGGCCTCCAAGGAGCACTCTGGCTGCACTTCTTCCAATACAGATCTGTTGGTTCTTTTGGCAGCCTATGGTACTTTCATTATTCTCCCACAACAACATAACTCAAAAGCATCAATTCTTCTATGATCTTCCTTATTCATTGTCTAGCTTTCACATTCATATGAGGTTATTGAAAATACCATGGCTTGGATCAAGTGCAGCTTAGTCCTCAAGCTGACATCTTTGCTCTTCAACACTTTATAAAGGTCTTGTGCAGCAGATTTACCTAATGCAATACATCGTTTGATTTCTTGACTGCTGCTTCCATGAGTGCTGATGGTTGATCCAAGAAAAATAAAGTCTTTGACAACTTCAATCTTTTCTCTATTGGTAAGAATGTTGTTTATTGGTCCAGTGGTGAGGATTTTTGCTTTCTTTACTTTGAGATGCAATCCATACTGATGACTATGGTCTTTGATCTTCATCAGTAAGTATTTGAAGTCCTCTTCACTTTCAGCAAGCAAGATTATATCATCTGCATATCGCAGATTGTTAATGAGTCTTCCTCCAATCCTGATGCCACGTTTTTGTTCCTATAACCCAGCGTCTCAGATTATTTGCTGAGCATACAGATTGGATAAGTATGGTGAAAGAATACAACCCTGTCACACACCTTTCTTAATTTTAAATCATTCAGTGTTCCCATATTCTGTTTGAGCAACTGCCTCTTGGTCCAGGTACAGATTCCTCATGAGCACAATTAAGTGTTCAGGAATACTCATACTTCACAAGTTGTTCATAGCTTGTCATGATCCACACAATCCAAAACCTTTGTGTAGTCAATAAAGCACAGGTAAACATCCTTCTGGTAGTTTCTGCTTTCAACCAAGATCCATCTGACATCACCAATGATATCCTTTATTCCACGTCCTCTTGTGAATTCCTCTTGAACCTCTGGAAGTTCCCTGTCAATGTATGGTTGCAGCCATTTCTGTATTATCTTTAGCAAAACTTTACTCACATGGGATGTCAAAGATATGGATGATTTCCACATTCCATTGGATCACCTCTCTTTGGAATGGGCACAAATACGGATCTCTTTAATCAGTTGGCCAGATAGTTATCTTCCAAATTTCTGGCATAGATGAGTGGTTGTCTCCAGTACCACCTTACTTTGTTGAAAGATTTCCCAATGCTTTGTTCTTTGCCAGTTCCTTCAATGCACCTTGGACTTCTTCCTTCAGTATCATTGGCTCTTGATCATATGCTACCTCTTGAAATGGTTGAACATGGACCATTTCCTTTTATTACAGTGACTCTGTATTCCTTCCATCTTCTTTTAATGTTTTCTACATCAAGCCTAGTATGGTTGGTTGGTTGGTTATGTGCCATCAAGTCTCTTCTAACACATAGCGACCCTGTACAGGGTTTCCGAGGCTGTAAATCTTTACGGGAACAGAACGCCTCATCTTTCTCCCATGGAACAGCTGGTAGTTTTGAACTTCTGACCTTAAGGTTCACAGCCTGATTCGTAACCACTACACTACCAGAGCTCCTTAAGCCCAGTATAGGATCACCATGTCTAGTGCTGATTGGAGTCCTAATTTGGTGCTGTCGAATAAAACAAAGGACAACTAACTTCAAGGTTGACAGTTTGTACCCACCAGCTCCTCCTCAGAAACCCTCCCAAGGATCTTCACTGCACTTAACAGCAACAAGAAGTCTTGATTATAATCATGAGCCTTGGAAGGCACTCACACAGCCATCACTGCCCCAGGCCCTCACTACCCTGGACTCAATGGATAATTTGTTCTTATGATAATGTTTTCTGAGATAATTCCTCCACACCTTCCTTGTGGGTTTCAGAGTTTGTATCTACCGCATCACTCTCACCTGAATGCAATCAGTTCTTCTTCTGCAGTTTGGACTGTTCTTGAGCAAATAAATCTGTTTGCCTTCATAATCACCATAGATTAAAAAGTGATTCAACTATGGAATTTTGAAGTTAAATAGGATGCTAGAGCTCATTTAAGCTGGAGCTTTGTTGATGGAAAAATGAGACTCAGCATCTCTGTGCTGAATAATTAGGGACAGTGTCCAAAACTTCTCAATCTCAATCAGTCCTCATCCTTCTCTACTATGATCCTTGTTTATTCCCATCAATCCTTCAGATAAATCCACTGCCTTCATTTCTTTTAAAGATTACTTTTCTATTCCTTCAAAATCCTGCTTAAAGCTCATGTACTTAGTGAAAATAATGATGATTAATTTCACCCAGCTCTCAAGACACAACTCAAGTCATTTCTAGGTCTTCGAGCATTGATGGAAAGAGTCCAATATAATGATTTATTCAATTCGGGTTTCTATTATATTTTTTCATTGTGTATTTTCTTGTCTAACATACGGCAACTTACTCGGGGGAAGATATTGTAACTTCAATGTTTTCTTTTCTCTAGCTTTACCACTGTGTTTTTCTCACTAAGAGTAATCAGTGACAGCTGACTAACAACAAACTAAACAGACTTGCCTGGCAGTGATCACCCAATTCATCATCATAATGTATGCTGTATAATGTATACTTCACCAGATTTACATAATGAGTGCTTTATTATTTTGCAAGCTCTTTTGCATAAGTTACTCCTTAGCTCTTACAACTGGGAGTATGTGTTCCCCAAAATACATGCTCTATAAAAGAACAAACATATGAGACCATTATTACAGAAAGTCAAGCAAACATTTACACACAGAAAGAAACCCTCTTTGATGTTAGCCAGGTATGGGAGGTGAGGGAGAGTAGATCACTAATTAGAGAGTTGTTGTTGCTGTTTAGTGCCATATTAACTTGGGTGAAGGCAAAGGCAATATGTAATAAGGAGGAGGGCAGTACTACACGACCATGGCAAAGAAAGACACTGGGAGGTATACAAGAACAAAAGACAACAATGGTAAATACTATTACATATACAATCCTGCTATAATAATATAACAAGGATTATCTAAGAATAGATACACAGGTAAACATGCAAGCTGAACAGATGTGGGAAGACAAATGGGGTTACATCCATGAATGTTGTTGTTGTAAAGTGCTGTGGAGTCAGTTCTGATTCATAACAACCCTGTATAGGATTTCCGAGGAGCAGCTGGCGAGTTTGAACTGTCAACCTTGCAATTCAAACCGACCTTGAGGTCCAGTGCCACATCAGGAGTATATATATATACTCATGGATGTTGAGTCCTGGTGTGGCGCTATAGGATCAGCACTGGACAGTATATAGAGATGTGCACGCACACACACATATATGTAAGTTTGACAGAGACTATCTACATACGAAGTTTTTGTTGTTAAGTGCCGTCAAATCAGTTCCGACCCATAGCAGCCTTGTATAGGGTTTCTGATGATTGGCTGGTGGGTTTGAACAGCCGATGTTTAGGATAGCAGTCCAATGCTTATACAGTGCCACACCAGGACTCCTATGTAGTTGCATGTGCTGCAAACATATCAAAGGACATTGTAAAGCATACAGAGGATTAAGTACTGAATGCTTCTTAGCTATAACAAACACCTTCAGCGAATGAGTGAGTGGGCTTGCAGATTTAGGACCACAGTCTCAGGGAACATCAACTGGCATAACACAGTCCACAAATACTATGTTCTATAACCCACTGAGGTGAGAATCTGGGGATTTAAAAGCTTGTAAGCCATCATCTAAGATGCAATTTTTGGTCTCTCCCCATTAGGAGCAAAGAGTGAAGAAAAAAAAAAAAGAAAAAAACTCCAGAAAACAATTAATCCTAAAGACTATTGGACTATGTGAACCTCCAATACTCTGAGACGGAACAACTAGATGATGCCTGGCTACCATTACCAACTGCTCTTGATCACAAAAGAAAGTCCTGGACAGAGAGGGAGAAGAACAAAATGAAAAAATAATTTAAAAGACCAGACTTATTAGTCTGATAGAGACTAGTAGAAAACACACACACACACACACACACACACACACGCACAACTATGGTGGGCTTTAGACACCCTTCAAGCCTGAAACTGAACCCAGCTTTGGGAAGATCAACTTTCAGACAAGCAACAGACAGGCCTATGAAGTGCATAGCACCAGGAAGGAATGTAGTCCTCCTGGTGAGATCAAAGGGCATATGAGACCAAAGGGCATTTGTTCAAAAACAGGACTCAGAAGGCAGGATGAGGCAGGAAAGAAAGATGAATGGAAATGGGGACCCAAGGAGGAAGTGCAAAGAGTGCTGCTACATCAGGGGATTTCAACCAATGTCATAAAACAAAATGTATATAAATTGTGGAATGGAAAACTAATTTGCTCTGTAAACTTCCACCCACACTACAACAAAATATAATTATAAATTAAAACATTTGTGTTGTAAATGAGCAAGGGGTTAAGCATTGGGCTGCTCCAATGGCTCAAAACCACTGCTTCTCCTCAGGAGAAAGAT